AGGAATGTTTGCATTTGAACCTGTTTTCCAGAAATACCCGCTTAAATCAAAGCTATCAGCATATAATATCAGATCAAATTCATCATAGACAGTAGAAAAATAAAAAGCTGTAATCCTTGGTGAAATTCAAGCCTTGCATATCCAGTCTTTAATGATTTTCAAACCTCTGTGCTGTAGAATGACAACTCTAAAATGCCTCCCTAACGCGTGAAAGATAACACGAGTACAAAGTGTTCCCCATTTGATGAAGGTTTGGATGCTGTTCCAGACTCCTCTTTCAGTTGGGAAGATTGCATTTCTGTGGTGTCCTCTATCAGAGCATCTCAAAGTGCTTTACAAGCATTAGTGAAATGAGCTTAAGTCATAGCTGGGGACTGTCTTCTCATTTTTACCATGAAGAGGGATGCACCTGGGTTGAGTTGAGCGACGTGACAGACTGAGAACTCTGCTGTGCGTTGTACTACTCAGTACAAGGCCACCCACAACACCTCAAGAGCTTTTCGACAGGGGTTATTGGACCTGCTTTTCCCGACGTGAATATAAGCTTTGTAGAAGTATAGCGATCTGCTTTCTGATGGTGTTGATCAATTTGTTCAAGTAGATACAATACCACAGTGACTGCTCTTACGAATATTTACGGTTATATAGCCGTTTTGAGTTTATTGTACGTAGCTGTAGCTTGGTTAGTAGTTGGTCACCTAGCACTAATTAAGATTTACGTTAAGGTAGAAATACCTTGTGTTATAAACTGCAAAGATTTTGTAAAACACAGAGCTCGTCAACAGGCAACTTGCCTCTTCCCTTTTTCTGGCTAATTCGGAGCTGTGAAGTTTAGGTAGCAGACATTACAAAGGTATCTAAGGCTACAGCAAAATCACATCTATGTATGGGGAAAAGTTTTGTAGCATTTTCTTTAGGCCTGTTGCTTTTTCCCTATATGGTTGCACTAGAAGTTGACATAAGGTACAAAAAATTAATATGGTAAATCAACAGCTTTTTGAGCTTACTACCAGTTGTGGGTTTTATCAGACCTACCAACAGTGGTCTGATGTAGAGGTCCTAGGTGTTGTCTCATACTAGTTTGTTAGATGTTCACACAAGAAAGTAGAGACTGCAGCTAAATTGACTCATGGGTGAATTCTAGATACTACAGGCTTTCTTACCTTCTACATATAGGTCACCAAACCTAGTCTCATATGAGAATTAAGAAAGCTTTTATCCATTCCTGGCTGTTTATCAGTTGCAACAGAAGGGATTTCAGTATTAAATTATGGGAAACAACAAGTATTGAGACCTTGGTGTTCCTGATCATACCTATGTCTAAATTAAACTAGGTCTGCAAATCATAATTCAGCAGCATGCAATATTAGTTGGTCTATGTGACTTAAGTCAAGTCTGTGTGGAATAAGAAAGGCTTGGCTTGCTAAGGGTTATGAAGATACTCTTCCTTCAGCTTCAGCTACAGCAGGAGAAATGGGAGTGTAATTCAACTTTTAATGGGAATAGACCTTCTCATACCGACAATTCAAGACATGTTGTACTCATTAACAATTAACAGGAGCTGTATAAGGCATTGTTTTTTATGACAACAGTGGTTGAAGGCTTTAAAAAAGGTTGTGATCACACGATGCTAGGTGATAACAAATGCAATCAAAAGCCCTGCTCCAAACAGCTTACAGTCTTGGTCCTACTGAAAAGCATATTAATCCCAATCACTTGTGAAATGAAGGCGATAGTGTGGGAAGGCCAGTGGTGCGGCTCAGTCGTTCTGCAGGCTGCTGACTGATGCTTTTGCTCACAGACAGGAAAGAGTCTGACCAACAGATCCGGTTACAAGCAGGGAATTGCTGTGCTTTGCCTCTGCAAAAAGAAAGGGCCCGTTTCATTTTCAGCAAGGTTTCCACATAGCTCCCAGCTTCTCCTTCCACCTCCGCCTATAAAATTTCCTGCTTTGGTATAACTGTCTGAGGCAAGATCTGTGCTACCGTGGTGGGGCCTGCACTAGAGCCTAGTTTATAGTCTTCGCTGCCTGTGCTTGTAGAAGGAGATGGAAGGGATGTTTCAGGAGATGCTGTGGGAGAGAAAAGAAACAAAGAATTAAAATGCACATGGATGCTGTTCAATAGAGCAGTGTCCAACTAAAATCAGTGAACAGTCCTATGAACCAAGAGCAGGTGCTTGGAGTTGGGCAGGGGGCAGGTTCCTTCCAAAATCCAGGCCTTTTCTTCCCTCCTGACTTGTGATGAGGCGCAGGGTGGACTGTTAAGCACGTGCCAAATCTTCCAAGTATTTTGCATTTGGGGAATGCTTTCCCCCAACTGCTTGTCAATCCCTTCTCTCCTAGTCAGAAGAGAGCTCAACCTGCTGGCCGCTATACTTCGTTTACAGAACGGAAAATGTTTACTGGTCAGCAGCTATTTCCCTAGGTTCCCTTGCTGCAAGGTGACTTTGGAAAAAAAATGAAGAGTGAAAATACACAATGTCTATGTTTACGTGGATGAGAAATAGCAAAAGCTGCTATGAGAGGTATGTGATCATAATTGTCAGAAGGAGACTGTGTGTGTGTGTGGAAGGCATTATGATTACATGGCAGAGGCTGTTAAATTGCAGCTCTTGTTCTGCATATTTTTGTAATAGCACGGTCTGTTTGCTATTACAGTGGATAAGTGCGTTAACAAAAAGCCTTTCCCTAGCAGCAGTGCCCAAAGTGGTTGATGATGGTCTTGTATTCAGGACACATTTTGTTCTGGTTGACATGAACCAAGACGCTTTACGTAGGGAAACTCTTGCCACTAATAACTGTGCGCGCTCCTTTGTGGTATTTCCTAGTGCTGTCTGTGCTCATAGAAACATACTGTCAACATTCCTGATATTTTTTTACTCTTGTGATGTTTGGTAGCATCTCAGAGTCCGAGCTTCAGGGTCATGCTATTATGTGAAAATCTCAGCTTATTTTTGGAAGCGTATTTCTGGATCTCACAGCACTGGAAATCAGCAAGGGGGGAATGTGAACTCTAATTCAAGTGTAATGCTTAAATATATAAATACACCTTAAATTCTTTTTCTTAACTGCTTCTGCTACCCAGGCCCTTTGCTGTGCTGCCACTAACAGTGTAAAAATGGAGACGTACGGTCTGGAGCGGTGTGAATCACAGAACTCATGCTGCTTGGGAGGACGTGTCCTGGCAGAGGGTCCAGGCTGAGGCTGGGAGGTCCTGACTGGTACTGGAGATCAATGGTAGTTCCTGCAGTGGAAGACGGAAAGATATAATGTTTTGCATAGTTAACCAAGAATTCAGATGAACTGTGTCAAGTCGCTTTTATTTAGAGAATGTGGGAGACTTGTCTATGAGTGGGGTTATTTTTTTGGCTCATCTTTGCTTCCTTCTTGCTTCTGCTGTCCTTTGGTCTCAGCCTTCTCGCAGTTGAGGGGTAACCCCCCTCCCATATGGCTCGAGTTTCTGCTAATAGCTGACAGCACTGTTCATTGTGTGTATGTGCGTCCCACATATGTGTAACTACCCATATAGTTACAACTTTTGCATATTGCTAACAAAAGTATGTGGTTGCCTTGCGAAGTGCATCGGTTTGGTACCTTGCCTAAAAGTCAAGTCCTCAGCTGGTGCGAAGCACTGCAGGGGGTGCCTGTTGCAATTAAACTGTCCCTTGGGCAGACTTTCAGAGGTGGGCTGCACGAGAATGGTGAGGGGATGGGTCTGCAGTGAGATGGACCCAGGTGTGAGCCACCATTCAGCCTGAGCCTTCACTTCCCCCGTCGCAGGCCAATGTTTTGTTTTCTCTACCATATGTGCTCCCATTTCCTCCAGAAAAGGATCACAAACCCAAGCATGAAACCATGTAATGGCTTTGAAATGTAATGACTTTGCTGTTCTTTCTCAGCAGGGTTTGTACCTCCCAGCAGCATTTCCTGCAGCAAGCTGTCAATCCGTGCCACACCAAAGAGCTTCACGAACTGGACCTGTTCAATCATCTGCCAGGTGATGCTCTGAAGTGGTGGCAGGAGGAGGAGGATGTCGCTGAACCGGCCTCGTGAGTCATATTGGCGATCGTTGATGTAATCCTCCAGGTTGACCTGGACCTGGAATCTCATGTTCTTGACCTTACCGGGCTCACTCAGGCCTTTGCAGTCTGGAAGAGAAAGAAATGAAATTAATTGCTGGTGTGTGTAACCGAAAGGTGTTATTCTGCCATTTGAGCTCTGTAGAGGGAAAAAAATGAAACATCAGTGACCTTTGACAGTGATGTCTCAGTGCCTCCCAGTTTATCTGACATGTTAACATTGCGGTACCACTGTTTCGCATCTGATGTGGAATAGTCTATTTGATGGGAAATAGTAAGAAAATAAGAGCTTTATTCAGACAGGTATACCTGGCTACTAGCATTAGCAAAGAGGAAGGATTTCAAAGCTGAACCATATTTATCCTTCTAAGTAAATGTCCTGGAACTTTTTCCATGAAAACTTTGAGTCCTAACTACTCCCACGAAATCCATGCAGGTTTAGTGCTTCTGAAGAGCAAACCGCTAAAATGTTTTCTTTCACTGGATCCCTGAGGACAGAAGACCACCTTTCTGGCTAGTTCACCAGTATCTGCCCCACACCACTAACTTCTCCTGGAAAAGGAGTTTCCTACAGCTCTTTCACTCTTCTCCACAGGAGCAGCATGAACACAGCTTCGTCCAGAAATCTTTACTTTGCCAAAGTGTTGCAAATACAATGGCTGTAGCGTTAGACTGCTGTCTTGGTTCCCTGTGTTTGGCCTGTGATTGATCCATTTTTCATGGATCACTGGTCCAGTTTTGCTTGATCAAGTAAACGTGCACTCAAGCAACGATTCGTAAATCTGTTTCCTTCGAGGACCTCACTGATGTCTGGCTGAGCCCCCAGCCCTGACCCATTCCT